AGGGTGACTGGAGTTCCAAGCCAGTGGGTCATATCCTGTGAGGTGCTGTGGAAGGGGGCCCTGAAGGCAATTACTGCTCAACCCCCTGGATTCAGTTCATTTCCGAGGGGTCTGCACAGGGGTCTAACCTCCCACTTAGCCATAATTGCAGCTGCTTTTTCAGGGAAGCCAGGAAAGCCTGGGTATATAAGTGTCTCGGGGAGTCTTCGTGTGTACCCGAGTGACTACTTTGCTGAAACTCCACATAGCTCTGTGTGTCAGGCTAGAGGCCCTGATGAAGCAGATTCAGGAGTGGATCTCCTGACCCACAGGATGTGAAAATCTGTGGGAGAAGCATGAGTTCCTAGGTCACTCATTTATTCACAGCTTTCCTGGGAGGGGGAGATTCCCTTGCCTCCATATTGTTCCCAGGTGGGCCATCATCCTGCCTTGCTTTTTTCCATTCTCTGTGACTTGCATTGTTTCTTCAATTAGTCACAATGCACATATCGGGATGTTTCTGTTGAAGGTGCTAGATTTACTCAACCCTTAGATTCCTCTCTGTAAGAGCTGCTTCTAGTTAGCCATCCTGGCCACTCCCCTCCAACAACAAGAATTTTAAACCTATGGAAATTTGAATTCAAAGCCTATGCTTTTGTTTTTAAAATGAAAAGTTACATGATGCATTTGGACTTTGGAAAATATTCTTACTCTTATAAAACACAAGGACACAGGGAGAGAAGTACTAAACACTGGGGTCTATTGGGGGAAAAGGGGAGGGCCAGTAGGGAGGGGAGGTGGGGAGGGATAGCCTGGGGAAAAATGACAAATGTGGGTGAAAGGGAGAAAGGAAGCAAAACACACTGCCATGTGTGTACCTATGCAACTGTCTTGCATGCTCTGCACATGTACCCCAAAACCTAAAATGCAATTAAAAAAAAAAAAGATGTAAAATTAAATCTTTTGATAGTTTCAGTTATAATTGTCTTTCTAAAATCAGGTTTATTTATATATGATAAACTTTATAAATTTAAATTTCATGGTTAAATAAGCTATGCAAATGTACTCAATTAGTTGTCAACCACGATTAATATATAAAACATTTGCAAAACCAGAAATTTCTCTAGTGCCCTTTAGCAATCTTCCACCCATACTTGGATCCTGTTAATATTAATCTGTTTTCTGTCACCAACTAGAGTTTTGCCTTATCTAGAATTTTATATAAATGAAGTTATATATAATGTGATCTTTTTTGTTTAGCTTACTTCACAGTTTTTGAGATTCATCTGAAAACTGCATGTAGTTTATTTCATTTTATTGTTAAATGGGATTCTGTTCATATGAATATACCATATTTTGTCTATCTATGCACTTGTTGCTAGACATTTGGGTTCTTTCAAGGTTTGGGCAATTACTAATAAATTTGCTCTAAACATGAACAAGTTGTGTATATATATGTTTACATTGTTTCTTAAATAATTGTAGAATGCCTCAGTTATATGGTAAGAATATGCTTAATTTTTTAAGAACCTGCAAAAAGTATTTGAAAGTTGTTATAAAATTTTGCAATCCTTATAGCACTCCACGGCTTATTTTAAAATGTCCTTTTTTTTACTTGTTTCGTAAGAATAAATAAACACAAAGATGATGCAGATTGTTAATATGTTAAGTTGGTGCTTGCTCTGTCTCAGAGCAGTAGAATGATCATATTAACATTTGAAATGCCAGTTTATCTTTGGGATTGATGTGACATTAATCCGAGTATGTAATTAGTATGATTATGTTCTGCTCGTTAGAATATACCTTAAAGTGGTAAGAGCCTTCGATGACAAACCCACAGCCAACATCAAACTCAACGGGCAAAAGCTGAAAGCATACCCCTGAGAACCAGAACAAGATAATGGTGCTCACGTTTACCACTCCTATTCAACATAGTATTGAAAGTTCTAGCCATAGCAATCAGGTGAGAGAAATAAATGAAAGGTATCTTAATACAAAAGAGAGAAAGTAAAACTATCTCTTGTGGATGATATGATTCTATGCCTAGAAAAACTGGTAGTCTCTGCCCGAAAGCTCCCAGGCCTGATAAAAAAAAAAAAAATTCAGCAAAGTTTCAGGATATCAATGTGCAAAAATCAGTCGCATGTTATACACCAGCAACATCCAAGCTGGGTGCCAAATGAATAATGCAATCCCACTTACTATAGCCACACAAAAATAAAACATCTAAAGTACAGGTAACCAGGGAAGTGAAAGATCTCTACAAGAATTACAAAATACTGCTAAAAAGAAATCAGAGATGACACAGACACATGGAAAAGAATTCCATGCTCATGGATAAGAAGAATCAATATTGTTAAAATGGCCATAATATTACAAGCAAGTTACACATTCAATGTTATTCCCCCAAACTACCAATGAAATTCTTCACAGAATTAGAAAAGAAAACTATTCTAAAATTTAAGTGGAACAAAAAAGAGCTCAAATAACCAAGGCAATTCTAAGCAAAAAGAACAAAGCTGGAAGCATCACCTTGCCCAACTTCAAACTATAAGGCTACAATAGTAGTTTCCAAAAGAGCATGGTACTTGTACACAGTAGATACACATACCAACAGAACAGGTTATGGAACTTAGAAACAAAGCTATACACCTACAACCATCTGATAATTTGACAAAGCTTACAATAGCAAGCAATAGGAAAAGGGTTCAATAAATGATGCAGGGAAAGCTGGCTAGCCATATGCAAAAGATTGAAGCTGGACCCCTTTCTTATGCCATATACAAAACTCAACTTAAGATGGATTGAAGACATCTATTAGTCTATTCTTGCATTGCTATAAAGAGCTACCTAAGACTTGGTAACTTATAATTTAAAAAAAACAAAAGAGGTTTAATTTACTCACAGTTCCACAAGCTATAGAGAAAGCATGGCTGTGGAGGCCTCAGGAAACTTATATCCATGGCAGAAGAAGTAAAGGAAGAAAGCCTGTACTACATAGCTGGAGCAAGAGGAAGAAAGGGTAAAGGGGGAGGTGCCAAACATTTCCAAACAACCATATCTCATGATAACCCATTATCACAAGAACAACAAGGGGGAACTCAATCCCAATGATCCAACCACCTCACACCAGGCCCTTCCTCCAATACTGGGGATTAAAATTTGGCATGATATTTGGGCAGGGACACAAATCCAAACCATATTATTCTGCCCTTGGTCCCTCCCAATCTCGTGTCCCTCTTACATGACAAAATACAATTATCCCTTGTCAAGTTTTAACTCATTTCAGCATTAACTCAGAAGTTCAGAGTCCAAAGTCTCAACTGAGACAAGGCAACTTCCTTCCCCCATGAGCCTGTAAAATTTTTTTAAAAGTTAGTTACTTCCAAGATACAATGAGGGTACAGTCATTGCATCAATACACCTGTTCCAAAAGGGAGAAATCAGCCAAAACAAAGAGACCACAGGCCCCGTGCAAGTCTAAAACCCAGCACAGCAGTCATTAAAACTTAAAGCTCCAAAATAATCCCCTTTGACTCCATGTCTCACATTCCAGCCACAGTGATTCTATAGGCAGGTTCCCAAAGCATTGGGCAGCTCCACCCCTCTGACTCTGTAACCCCCTTAGCTGTTTTCATGGTCCTGTGTTGAATGCATGTAGTTTTTCCAAAAACACAGTGCAAGCTGCTGGTGGGTCTACCATTCTGGGATCTAGATGATGGTGGCCCTGTTCTCACAGCTCCACTAGGCAATGCCCCAGAGGGAAATCTGTTTGGGGGTTTCAACCCCGTATTTCCCCTCCACACTGCCCTAGAAGTTCTCCATGAGGGCTTCATCCCAGCAGCCAACTTAGGCTTAGACATTCAGGCATTGCCATACATCCTCTGAAATCTGAGCGAAGGCTCCCATGCCTCTACTCTTGCCCTCTGCAGTGCCACAGATTTAACACCTTGTGGAATCCACCAAGCCATACAGCTTGAGCCCTCTGGAGCAGTGGCCTGAGACATATGAGGCCCATTTAGCTACAGCTGGAGCTGGAGGATCTGGGATGCAGGAATGTTGGGATTTACTCAGGGTGATTGGCAAAATATTAGGGGAAATATTAGCGATAGTTATAAGTTCATAGTCTCAAACCTATTGGAAGACCGGAAGGTTTTAATGGAAAAGACTGAAGGCAGCCAGTTCTTACCTTAGAGCATTAGGTCACAGGGTGAAGATTATGGGTAATAGAAACATCCCCAGTTAAGTCTGTTTGCCCCATATTTCTTTGACTCTACTCTAACTACTTGTTTATTCATGTAAACTTTGTGCCTGGATGGTCCTCTCAGGAGGAGGTCGAAGGGGGATTATCTGTTCATGGTGTTTGCTCTGGGCTCCAGAACCCAAAGCTTTTATCATCTGTAAAACCACTCTTTTAACTATGTTAATTATCCACAAGCCTGTTGACTTAGAGCTTCTGCCATTAAATCTATACTGAATAAATGCAAGGAAGAATAGCCAGTAGGGCTTAGGTAGCTGCCATAATCCTCTGAGAGCAGCTAATAACCTCCCTAGCCCACTTGTTCACTGGACTTGGTGCATGAGTATATTGTATTCATCTGTCGTGGAGTCAGGGTTTGCAGGACAGATCCCTGCAGGTAATGATCAACGTCTCACAGGAAGCAGTGTGTCAAGGCTGTGCAGGGAGGCAGGGCCCTGGCCCCTGCCCATGAATCCATTCTTCCCTCTTAGGCCTCCAGGTCTGTGATGAGAGATGCTCCCATGAAGTTCTCTAAAATAACTTTGAGGCATTTTCACCATTGTCTTGGCTACTAACATTAAGCTCCTCATTACTTACGTAAATTTCTGCAACCAGCTTGAACTCATCCCCAGAAAATGGGATTTTTTCTTCTACTACATTGTCATGCTTCAAATTGTCTAAACTTTTATGCTCTGTTTTCCTTTTAAATTAAAAAAAAGTCCAGTTTCAGCTTATTTCTTTGTTCATGCATATAACCTTACTCTGTTAGAAGCAGCCAGACCACATCTTGAATGCTTTGTTGCTTAGAAATTCCTTCTGCCAAATAGCCCAAATCATCTCTCTCAAGTTCAAAGTTCCACAGATCTCCAGGAAAGAGACATAATGCCTCCAAACTCTTTGTTGATGCATAATAGTGACCTTTGCTCCAGTTCCAAATAAGTTCCTTATCTCCATCTGAGACCACCTCAGCCTATCACTATCAGTATTTTGGTCACAACAATTTAACAAGTCTCTAGAAAGTTAAAAACTTTCTCTCATCCTCCTGCTTTCTTCTGAGCTCTCCAAACTGTTCCAACCTCTTGCCCATTAACAGTTCCAAAGCTGCTTCCACACCTGTCTCACATTGCTATAAGAAACTAGCTCAAACCAGGCAATTTATAAAGAAAAGAGGTTTAATTGACTCACAGTTCTGCAGGCTGTACAGGAAGTGTGGTTGTGGGGGCCTCAGGAAACTTATAATCATGGCAAAAGGCAAAGAAGGAAGCACATCCTACATGGATGGAGCAGGAAGAAAAGAGAGTGAAGGGGAGGTACCGCACACTTCCAAACAACCAAATCTTGTGAGAACTCACAATCATGAGAACAGCATGGGTTCCCCCACCTGAATCCATCACCTCCCTCCAGGCCTGTCCTCAAACATGGGGGATTACAATTTGACATGATATTGGGAGGGAACACAAATCCAGACCATATCAAGACTTAAGTGTAAAACCTAAAACTACAAAAACCTTGGAAGATAACCTATGAAATACCATTCTGAACATAAGCCCTGGCAAAGATTTCATGATGAAGACACCAAAAGCAACTGCAGCAAAAACAAAAACTGACAAGTGGGACCTAATCAAACCAAAGTGATCTGGACAGCAAAAGGAACTATCCATGAAGTAAACAGATAACCTACAGTACTGGAGAAAACATTTGCAAACTGTGCATCTGACAAAGGTCTAATATCTAGCATCTATAAGGAACTTAAATAAATTATCAAGCAACAAAGAAACAATCCCAGTGGGCAAAGGACATAAACAGATACTTTTCGGAAGACATACATGTGCCCAAAAAGTATTTGAAAAAAGTTCAGTATCACTAATAATTAAAGAAATACAAATCAGCCGGGTGTGGTGGCTCACGCCTGTAATCCCAGCACTTTGGGAGGCTAAGGCAGGCAGATCATGAGGTCAGTAGTTTGAGACCAGCCTAACCAACATGGTGAAACCCCATCTCTGCTAAAAATATAAAAATTAGCCAGGCATGGTGGAACATGCCTGTAATCCCAGCTACTCAGGAGGCTGAGTTAGGAGAATCACTTGAACCCCAGAGGCAGAGGTTGCAATGAGCTGAGATTGTGCCACTGTGCTCGAACCTGGACAACAGAGCAAGACTCCATTTCAAAAAATGAAAAAAGTAGAAATACAAATCAAAGATACACTTAGATGCCATCCAACACCAGTCAGAATGGCTATACTTAAAAAGTCAAAATGTAACAGATGTTTACAAGGTTGCAGAGAAAAAGGAACAGTTATACACTGCTGGTGGAAATGTAAATTAGTTCATTTACTAATAGAAAATAGTCTGGAGTTTTCTCAAAGAACTTAAAATTGAAGTACGATTTAACCAGCAATTCTATTATTGAGGATATACCCAAAGGAATATAAATTGTCATATCATAAAGATACATGCACATGTATGTTCATCACAGCACTATTCACAATAGCAAAGACATGGAATCATCATAGATGCCCATCAATGATGGACTGGATAAAGAAAATGTGGTACATATAAACCATGGAATACTAATCAGCCACAAAATAGAATAAGAACATGTCCTTTGCAGCAACATGGATGGAGCTGGAGGCCATTATCCTAGTGAACTAATGCAGGAACAGAAAACCAAATACCACATGTTCTAACTGATAAGTGGGACCTTAACTTTGAGTGCCCATGGAAATGGGAAGAGAAAAATAGACACCAAAGCCTACTTGAGGGTAGAAGGTAGAAGGAGGGTGAGGACTACAAACCTACCTATTGGGTACTGCGTTTATTACCTAAGTGATGAAATAATTTGAACAGCAAACCTCTGTGATATGCAAAATACCTACATAACAAATTTGCACATGTACCCCAAAAGCTAAAAGAAAAGTTTAAAAAGTTTACCTTTTAGTCAGTTACTCTTCCCAGCCTGAGTTTTGTTAAAATCCTGTTCAATGATATTTTCTGAAACAAAAAATATACATAAATTATTCAAATGCAATATGTTGTACACTTTAAACTGATACTGAAGAGAAATAATCCTTAAGACTTCATAATGCCATTCAACATATGAATGTAATACAGTATTTAAAGACAACGTTCGTGTATTAGTTTGCCTGGGCTATCATAGCAAAGTACCATAAACTGAAAGGCCTAAACAAATAAATGTATTGTCTCACAATACTGGAGACTCACAGTAAGTATCAGGGTTGGTTCTTTCTGAGAGCTGGGAGGAAAAGTCTGTTCCATGACTCTCGCCTAGTTGCTGGTGGTCTGCTGACACTCCTTGGAATTTTGGCTTGCAGAAGCATTTCCCTAATTGTTTCTTTAATTTCATCTGGCATTCTTCTTATGTGCATGATTTGCTTCAAAATTTCTCTTTTAATAAGATTAAAATAAGTTCTTTTAATAAAAACCCAAGTCATATTGGATTAGGGCACACCCTAATGACTTCATTTTAACTGGACTACCTTTGTAAAGAACCTATCTCCAAATAAGGACATATTCTATACTGGGAGTTAGGCCTTCAATATATGAACTTGGGGGTACACAATTGAACTAATAATCATCATAGTTGATCCACTGGTACTATTAATGTAGTATTAAGTGGAGTGACTATACTTCCAATCATAATGTCAAGTAACACTTACAAATTCATAATAATGTTAACTGAAAAGATACATGCGAGCCTCTTTAAACCTCTTTAAAAAAAGACTTCTCTTTTTTTTGAGACAGAGTTTTGCTCTTCTTACCCAGGCTGGAGTGCTATGGCACGATCTTGGCTCACCGCAACCTCCGCCTCCTGGGTTCAGGCAATTCTCCTGCCTCAGCCTCCCGAGTAGCTGGGATTACAGGTAAGTGCCACCATGCCCAGCTAATTTTTTGTATTGTTAGTAGATACAGGGTTCCCCATGTTGACCAGGATGGTCTCGATCTCTTGACCTCGTGATCCACCCGCCTTGGCCTCCCAAAGTGTTGGGATTACAGGCTGATCCACCGCACCTGGCCAAAAGACTTCTCTTTTTATGTTCTCAAAAATATTTAATGATATAGAAGTTCATCTGTTGAATGAAAAGAGCTGGACAGGAACCACACGTGTTGTAGGACCTGAATTTTGTATAACACACACACACACCGACACACTCACACAGAGCAAAACTCCGGATGAGATACCTTGCAGTGTCATAGTGATTACCTATGTGATGGTGGACTTGAGGATCATTTTGTACATGTATAAGCAGCTTACATAAGTTTAAAAGCAACAATGTGGATTTATGAAAAATCTTTCAGAAATGTATTATCTTGAACTCCCGATCTCAGGTGATCTGCCCACCTTGGCCTCCAAAGTACTTGGATTACAGGCGTGAGCCACCATGCCTGGCCTCAGAAATGTATTATCAATGGGGGCCATGGAGCTTGTTTCCCCAAGAGCTTTTGACCACAGGAAGACCCTTCCCAGAGGCAGGATGAGCAATTAGCTGCAGATTCATGTAGTTTCTGTATCACTGCAACATGACTGAAAAATACAACTGTGGTGCCCACCTCCTAAGAGTTTATCATCTAATCAGAGGCAGGCCACACACTAAGAGTTATCAATGGTTTTCTACATGCCAGAGACTGTGCTAAATTTAGACATGACCTCACTTTCTCCTCACCAGGAACACTGAGGGAAGGACAATTACCACATCGTTTTTTTTTCATGCTTCCAAATTTTATTTTATTTCATTTAAAATTTTCATTACTATAAATCTACAGTAATTAAGACAGTATGGAAGTGGCATAAGAATAGGCATATAGCTCAATGGAATACAGTAAGCCCATATATTTATAGCCATCTATTTATTTATTTATTTAGAGATGGTGTCTTACTCTGTCTCCCAGGCTGGAGTGCAGTGGTATGACCTCAGTTCACTGCAATCTCCACCTCCCAAGTTCAAGTGATTCTCCTGCCTCAGCGTTCCAAGTAGTTGGGATTACAGGTGCGTGACACCACACCTGGCTAATTTTTGTATTTTTAATAGAAACAGTGTTTTACCATGTTGGTCAGATTGGTCTCAAACTCCTGACCTCAAGTGATTCACCTGCCTCAGCCTCCCAAAGTTCTGGGACTACAGGTATGAGCCACTGCATCCGGCCCCAATTTATTTTTTTTTTATTGCATTTTAGGTTTTAGGGTACATGTGCAGAACATGCAAGACACTTGCATCGGTACACACATGGCAATTTGTTTTGCTGCCTTCCTCCCCTTCACCCACATTTGGCATTTCTCCCCAGGCTATCCCTCCCCAGCCCCCCCTGCTGTCCCTCCCCTCTTCCCCCCAATAGACCCCAGTGTTTGGTACTCCCTTCCCTGTGTCCATGTGTTCTCTTTTTCATCACCCACCTATGAGTGAGAATATGCCGTATTTCATTTTCTGTTCTTGTGTCAGTTTGCTGAGAATGATGTTCTCCAGATTCATCCATGTCCCTACAAATGACACAAACTCATCATTTTTTTATTGCTGCATGATATTCCATGGTGTATATGTGCCACATTTTCCCAATCCGGTCTATTATCAATGGGCATTTGGGTTGGTTCCAGGTCTTTGCTGTTGTAAACAGTGCTGCAATGAACATTCGTGTGCATGTGTCCTTATAGTAGAACGATTTATAGTACTTTGGATATATACCCAGTAATGGGATTGCTGGGTCAATTGGAATTTATATTTCTAAGGCCTTGAGGAATCGCCACACTGTCTTCCACAATGGTTAAACTAATTTACACTCCCACCAACAGTAAAAGTGTTCCCATTTCTCCACATCCTCTCCAGCATCTGTTGTCTCCAGATTTTTTAATGATCGCCATTCTAACTGGCGTGAGATGGTATCTCAATGTGGTTTTGATTTGCATCTCTCTAATGACCAGTGATGATGAGCATTTTTTCATATGTTTGTTGGCCTCATGTATGTCTTCTTTTGTAAAGTGTCTGTTCATATCCTTTGCCCATTTTTGAATGGACTTGTTTGTTTTTATCCTGTAAATCTGTTTGAGTTCTTTGTAAATTCTGGATATCAACCACATCTTCAAAAAACAATATAGAGTAAAAATATTTCAGAAAAAAATAATGAGAAGTAGTTATCAAATTTTCACTCTTATGCAAAGTAAAAGAAAATCATTTAGACCATCCTGCAATTCTTAAAGATAGGTTTTACTGAAGTAAAAAAATGTTTAGTATTACATCATAGATTTTATATTAAATGTAGTAAGCACCTGTTTAGCTAGACCATCCTGCAATTCTTAAAGATAGGTTTTACTGAAGGAAAAAAATGTTTAATGTTACATCATAGATTTTATATTAAATGTAGTAAGCATCTGATTAGGTGTTTACTTTTTGAAATTGTAAAATCAATGAAATATGAAAAAAATTATGTAATTTTAAGTTTTACTGAGAGAATGTAAATGTAGTCATGTATGTCATTTTCTGAGACCCAATGGCTTTACAAAAGTTATGATAATTAAAATGGTACTCTGAAATTGATATAATTATAAAACAACTCACATCTAATTCTAAACTGTAGTAATTGAGCCTAGAGTGAGATTTATTCTGTGGTTAAGAAAGGCAATGGCATTTATAACTAGAATAAATTAAAGCAAATGAAGAGGAAAATTTTGTTCTGTGTAATATTTAGTTGATTATAGTCTTAATTGACTATGCCAATCCATGTTCATCAATAGAGGATATGGTGTGTGCAAAAAAAATGAACAAAAATTTATCACCAAGGCATAGCCTTTGTTTCACAAGCAGAGAAGCTGCTGTAATATAATCTATCTGAATTTCTTGATATCATGTTGAAAGTATTCAAAAATGTGGAAAAAATACATTGCTGAAAATTATTTCTCTTATACTTTGATTTGGAGGGAGAATTTGAAAGTATTTCTGTTACTTTGGGTAAACTTATCTCTTCATGATTTCTATCTCTTTAAAGAAATTATATTGTATTTAACTCTATATATCTATTAAAATTGTAACAATTCATTTGTATAAATATAATTTTTGAAAAGAACTATTACATTAATACATTTGGATTTCAACTTTGAATGCAAGATTGTTACTTACAAATAGATATGTAGTAGATAGAATAATGTTCTCTTCAAAGATGTCCATGTCAATATCCCCAGGACCTGTGAGTATATTAACTTCCATGGCAAAAGATGTGATTGATCAATTTGTAGGTTTGATGAACAGATTTGTAGATTAGACTATGGATGATAAGTCAAGGATCTTGATATAGGAAAGCTATAATAGAATATCCAGGAGGGACCCAATGTAATCACAAGCATTAATATAAGTGAAAAATGGAGGCAGGAGCATCAGCATCAAGGAAGTAGGTATAATGACAGAAGCAGAGGTCAAAGTGATATGATAACTGGTTTTGAAGACAGAAGATCTATGAGTGAGCAGCCTTCTAGAAGATACAAAAGGAAGAAAATAGATTCTCACCTAGAGATTTCAGAAGGAACACAACTCTGCTAACCCCTTGATTTTAGCTTCTCGAGACCCATTTCAGACTACTGATGTTCAAAACTTAACATAATATATTGTTATTGTTTTAAGCCATTAAATTTGTAATAATTTGTTACAATAGCAAAAGGAAAATAAAACAAATCAGTTTTGTGATTGCAAGAAGCTTATAATAAAAAAAATCAATCTTTTAAAAACTTTTTAGTATTAAACATACACTTTGTTACTCAGCAATTGCACCTGTGAACATTTATGCTAGAAAAATAAAAACTATGTTCATATAAGCCTTATTTGTAATAACCAAATACTGAAAAGAACCCAATTCCCTTTTATGTGTGAATGATTGAGCAAACTCTGCTATATCTTATGAGTCTTTAGCAATTTATTAACATATAAAGAGATCACATACATATGTTCCATTTCATCACTATTAGATGCAAAACTCATTTTCTAATGAAATACAAGAAGATGGGGAGGAAGAGGAAGATGAAGAGCAGGAATAAGGAGGACAAAGAGGAAGAAGAGAAACAACCAAAATAATATAAGCATAATTGCCTATAAAATATAGCTTTACCATGAATCAAAGAAGAATCTGTAATAGCATACTTAAAACATTTGGCACTGAAGTTCAGTATATTGAGAAGGCTTGTATACTTTAAATATAAGAAAATTTGCAACTCTTTAGGTCTTCTATGCATCTTATTTAAGAAATATAAAAGTCTTTAGCAATTCACTATCTTCTGAGCTAAATATAAACATTCATTTTTTCAAATAGTTCTTACCACACCAAAGATTCTTCAACTAGGGAATGTATTTTTCTGCAACTCATTCAAATAGGAAACTGTTATGTAGAAAATAACATTTGTCCAAAGTAACAGAATTGCTACAGAATAAACTAGTAAAACAAATTAATCTAAAATATTTAGTGTCAACTCAAGCTTGCAATTTACCAGCACAATATTTTGAGACATCTTTATTTTGTCTGGTTTTCTTTGATTTCCAGTAAACTGTAAGTAACTTCTGGAAGTTTAATTAAGAATTATACTTTATCATTATTATAGAAGAAATGTTAGTTTCAAATAATTTAAATCTTAATCAGTTTGTGTACTTAATTTAAAACCTCATCAGATTATTTTATTCCTTAAAAAACAATTATTTAAATGAATCTAAAGATAGTCTTTTAAAATTCTGAAGGAGAGTTAAACGGAAAATTAAGAGTTAATCTTAATTTTCTCAAAAAATTATGTAAATTACTTGAGATAACTTGATATATTTGGGGAAAAACTTTTTTTACAATAAGATTATATGTTTTACCAATTATCCTTTAAACTTTCCAGGTTCCAGTCTTGTGAAATTAGTTGCATCCTCTCAAAAGAACATATAATATCTTGTACAATATTCTAAATAAGTTGTCTCATGTCAGGGTCACCACCTGTGGGGGTCTGTTCTGCAGACCCTGACTCAACAACAGATGAATAAAAGCACTCACACACAAATTACAGTCAACAAGTGGGCTGAGGGGTCATGAGCCACTCACAGAGAAAGATCACAGCTACAAGACACTCACTAGTTTGCCCTCTCCCCATCTATTCAGTATAGATTTAATAACAGAGGCTTTAAGTCAACACCCATGTAGAGAAAGACTAAAGGCCAGGTTCCAATGTCCAAAGCAAACACCATTAGTGGGTAATATCCCTGGTCAACCTCTTCTGAGAGGACCATCTGGCTCAAAGGTTAGTTTTAAGAACACACGAGTAAACAAGCTATTCAGATAAACTCCCTGACATACCCCAGCTATTTACTTTTCTTATTAACTAAATGTAAAGGGGATTTAGGCTGCCTTCAGCTGAAACTTCTACTGAAACCATGAAAAAAACCTTTAGGCCTCCCAAAAGGGTTTGAGACTATATTCTATAACTTTCTCTACTCTTTTCCCTTAATATTTTTGCCACTACCCTGAGGGAATTCCCATACTCCCACTAAATTATAACTATTTTGTCACCTAAACTGCATCACATACACTATTTCTGGTGCCATGTGGGCAAGCATATTGTCTCTTCACGTATTTTTATATCTAATGCTTCAGCTATCCCTGAACCATAGGCAATTCTCTGTATATGTTGCTTAATTAACTGTATTATTAACTTAGTGCATTTGAGTAACAGCAGAGCTTAAAGATTACTTTTGAATGAATCTATGTAAAGTCAGGGGGGCATATTCTGATAATAATACACACATGAAATTTCTCACTTTTTGATAAGAAACTCAGGTTAAATATTCAAAATAAACTGTCTTTTGCCAACAGTTCTTTCACTCATTCCCTCTGTATTTGACATACACTCTACCATAGCAAATATTTCTATTAACTAGATCTCCAAATTATTTTGTTGCCTCTCATCCTTCACTTTCCATATGTCTCTCAATTTTTCTACTCCATTTATGTAAACAATTATTATCTAGTGAAATGTTTGCTTGATAACATGCTAGTATATCATTAAAACTAGTCAATCATTTATCTTTAATTGATGTAATTGGATGCCCAGGGAAAGGATAATGAAGCCATGATGTTTAGGTTTCTATACTCTTTTTCCCTCCATTTGAGGTAAGTGTCACAATAATAGTTAATTTTCAGGGTATGCTTTCTACATAATAATGCATCACTATTAATCTCAATCTTAACAATAACCTTGTTAATAAAACAAGAACTATTTATTGCAATTTCTTGGAAATTAGAAGGAATAATTGGAAGGAAACCAAAAGTGAAGTTCCCTTGCCTGCACTCAATTGTTTTGTAAAACTTAAATAAAAAGGGTCAAAAAAGACTGTCCTTTCATATCCCTGGAGATAGTTTTAAGTGTATAATTTAGAAATGGAGACATGCAAGATGTAAACAAGTGTAATGGACACAAATGGGACATGAGATCTGAATCCTATCCAATTCTTATTCA